TTTTGTCTGATTGTAGAAATCAATGAAAAACGCGTTTCATAACTTGTCTGTTATTTAGTTTTATACGTCATTCAAGATGGCGGCCCCCATATAGTAAATATCGTATTTATTTTATTATCACGTGTGCGTCAGCTGACTGTGTGTGACACGTATATTTGGCAGCTTCTACTATTAATCAAATGGGCAACGTGAATAACTTTAAATATTATTCAGTGCGTTAAAACAATTGTTTTCGATAAAGCATCTTGATAACATTATTATGGTATGGCGGCACACATAGTAGGATTCCTTGAATGAAATACTGAGAAACTGAAAATACACATGCGTTCAGGATGTACCTATACATACATACAGACAATTGTAATCTCGTGTTTTTAGTATTGAAGTGAACAAATACATTTTTGCAGCCAAAACATTATTTTTACCAAGATGCAATATCCAACGAAATTATATAAAGAAAACTCAAATTTATCCATATTTTCTATTAGTCTATATTCACAATACTAGTACTGTTGGAGACGTACCAAGGTCATACAAGCTTAGACAGCGAAACACAAAGGAACGGAATATAATGTAATGAAGTGCATTGTTTCTTTTTTCCAGGAATCACTGCACTGCCTAGTGCTGTAGTAGGCACAGTTCTTGGAGGCTGGATTATACAGCGGTTCAACCTAGGAGTTAAAGGGACGTTGCGGTTCTGTATTTTCATTGGCGTGTTCACACTGTGCGGCCTTCCGATATTTCTCATCCATTGCCCGCAACCTGACATAGCCGGTGTGTTTGTTTCATATGACCCCATGTAAGTGATCTTCATTTGATATTCATTCAACTCTCAGTACAAGTTCCTTTATTATATGATCAAATGTCTCAATGATAGTCAGTTTCTTTATCTACTAGTATGTCTGTCTTCCTTCCTTTCTGTGTGTCTGTCTATCATACTGTGCTATGTTAATACTATGGTCGTTACCTTAGTTACCGAGTTAAATACACGCCCAACTTGATGACTAAATTACGTTCCTTTCCGAGTTATGTCCTATAGTTACGGAAATAGTTTAACTAAGGTAGGCCTCCGGCCTTTGCTGTGATGTCGTACGTACTGGGATAAAGGAGTTTACTAAATGTTAAGGAGAAAGAAAAAATTTTTTTTTATCATGATTGTTATTTACAGAACCGAGTTGGAAGAGGTGAACTTGAATCATCCATGCAATCTTCCTTGCAATTGTTCAACCTCAAGTGCATATAGCCCTGTTTGTGGCATAAACAATCTTGTTTATTTTGATGGTTGCTATGCTGGCTGCCAGACGACACTAAATGAAGGAGAGGTAAGATGCTTTTACTATCGACACAACAAACCCATCCTTTTCATTGTATATAATTATTTATAAATTGAAATGGCAATGAGGCAACCAATGAGCGCAGTACACAATAGCGTCATTTACACATGTTACTTGAATGTTATGTCACCGTAAAATAGAAACCTCCTAGTTTCATTTTGAATTGTGCAATTTATTAATATTCATACAAATTGAAAAGAATAAGTTTGTTGTGTCGATAGTAAAGATGGAACATTTTGGCCGGAAGATTTATGATGCTAAAATGGTTAATTAATAAAATATCTCTAAAGGCATAAAAATATAATAGGCCTTAAAGGGGGAGTCGTCACCAGCGCATGCGTCAGATGACCATAGTGTCCATAGTGTAGTGATGACCATAGTGTATCATTGTTTACAAAAAAGCGTCTACCCATGAGCCTTTGCATTTTTAGCATGAGTTGTTACATTGACACGCAGATCGCCGCAAACCAACTGTGCTGAATAGCGCCACCTGTGTTGACACAATGGAGTTGTTATCGTCGCTTGGAACTCAATTCCCGCGCGTGCGCAGGTAACCCCTCTGCTTTACCCATAGTTGTGCATTTCTAATCGGCCAACAAAATGATCTTTAGTAATGCAAGGCGCTGAATGCAATTTGCATATTACATGCAGTTTAGGTATTCCCGATGTTACTGAGTATTTAAATTACTTGTAATGCTATTATTATTTATATCATTTCCATTTTCAGACGTTCTCTGACTGTCGGTGTATATTTGCTGATAATAATACCAATCCAAACGCAACAGAGGCTGTCTCAGGAAAGTGCATACAGTCATGTTGGCAACTAGCTTTATTTATATGTTTATTTTTTATTGTGATGCTGCTAGGGTTCTGCATATTAACACCTTACAAGTACCTAATTCTAAGGTCAGTAAACTTTTTTTTTTACACCAAACATGTCTTGATTCGATATATATATATATTTTTTAAATACTGAAACGATCATTCCAGATACCCGCCAATTCCGCGTGCCGCAAGTATACTCGCGCGCGCAGTGTTACAAACAAACACAGTACGATAGATAACCGATTGTAAAAACCCAACATGAAGCTGTAGCCCATCAGCTGTAACTAATGCACTTTACAGGAAACAGTTTCCTTTGTACCCAACCCCTAATCTTAACTCTCATCCCACCCCAATTCAATTGTAATATAACTATAGGTGACCTTAGGAGGGACATATACAATTAAATTGGGGAGCGCTGGAGGGAAGGAGTAGGGTTCAGAGATATCGTTAGGGGTGTACAAAAGGAACTATTTCTCCTTAAAAGTATATGTGCATTTTGGGTTATTGTTAAAACTGATGCAAGTCTCGTATTGAAAGTCGCGTGGTATTATCATTAATAATCAGCTTTGTGATTAGTGCCGCGTTCGTTCAGCCAATCTATTTTGTTGTAAAGAAGTATTCGGGGCAAAATCGACCTATTTTTCTATTACTCGTGTGACTTTGCTCTGAAAAATACTCAAAGGTTATACTCAAAAAGGACTATCGTTTGTACGATTGTATAACTCTGATTCATTGCGCCCTCTGGAGGTTGAACATTTCGACAACTCATTTAGCCA